CACACACACACACACACACAATGGAACGTTACTTGGCAATCAAAAAGAATGAAATCTTGCCATGTGCAACAACATGGATGGAACTAGAGTGTATTATGCTCAGCAAAATTAGTAAGAGAAAGACAAATATCATATGACTTCACTCATATGTAGAATTTAAGATACAAAACAGATGAACATAAGAGAAGGGAAGCAAAAACAATATAAAAACAGGGAGGGGACAAAACACAAGAGACTCTTAAATATAGAGAACAAACTGAGGGTTGCTGGAGGGGTTGGGGTGGGGGGATGGGCTAAATGGGCAAGGGGCATCAAGGAAGACACTTGTTGGGATGAGCACTGGGTGTTATACGTAGGGGATGAATCATTGGATTCTACTCCTGAAATCATTATTGTGCTATATGCTAACTAACTTGAATGTAAATTACAATATAAATAAATAAAAAATAAAATAAAATAATAATTCTGGCTTGAATACTGGAAATACACTAAAAGAATAGATTTCAAGTGCTTTCTTCACACACACAAAAAGTGGTAACTGTGAGGAGATAATATGTTAATTAGCTTGACTGCAACAATTATTTCACTATGTGTATGTACATCAAATCATGTGGTACACCTTAAATATATATACAATTTTATTTAAAAAAATTTATCCTTGGTTGTTAAAAATTAGAAATGAAGAATAGAAAGGGAAATATAGAGGGGCACCTGGGTGACTCAGTTGGTTGAGTGTCTGCCTCTTGATTTCAGCTCGGTAATGATCCCAGGGTCATGGGATCAAGCCCCGAATCCAGCTTTGTCCTGGAAGGGCAGAACCTGCTTGGGATTCTCTCTCCCTCTCTCTGCCCCTCTCCCCTGATCACTTGCTCTCTCTCTAAAATAGAGACAAGAAGGGAGCGGGGTGGGGGGGGAGAGGGAGGGAAGGAGGAAGGGAGAGAGGGAGGGAGGGAGAAGGAAGGAAGGAAGAAAGGAAGGAAGGAAGGAAGGAAGGAAGGAAGGGATATATAGAAATAAATAGAGGGGCGCCTCGGTGGCGCAGTCGGTTAAGCGTCCGACTTCAGCCAGGTCACGATCTCGCGGTCCAGGAGTTCGAGCCCCACGTCGGGCTCTGGGCTGATGGCTCAGAGCCTGGAGCCTGTTTCCGATTCTTTGTCTCCCTCTCTCTCTGCCCCTCCCCCGTTCATGCTCTGCCTCTCTCTGTCCCAAAAATAAATAAACATTGAAAAAAAAATAAAAAAAAGAAATAAAAAAAAAAGAAATAAATAGATGGAGCACAGAAGATCCTTAGGGCAGAGAAACTGCTCTGTGTGATGCCTTAATGGTAGAGATCTGTCATTAAACATTTGTCAACCCATAGAATGAAAGAAAGCAAGAGCAACCCCTAATGTAAACTATGAAGTTTGAGTGATAATGATGTGTTGGTCAATGTAGGCCCATCAAATGTAGGAAATGCACAATCCTTGGGGGAAGATGCCAGTGAAAGAAGCTGAGGGTGTGTGGGGGCCAGACGTATGTGGCAAATCTCTGTACCCTCTGCTCAATTTTGCTGTAAACCTAAAACCCACTATAAATAATAAAGTCTAATAATTTTTTTAATATTTTTTTCATCTCAAAAAATTAATAAAGGAACTACCCTATGACCCAGCAATTGCACTACTAGGTATTTATTCAAAGGATACCAAAATGTTGATTCGAAGGGGCACATGCACCCCAGTGTTTAGAGCAGCGCTATCAACAATGGCCAAATTATGGAAAGCACCCAAATGTCCCCTGACTGATGAATGGATAAAGAAGATGTGGTTTATATGTACAATGGAATATTACAGATCGACAAGAATGAAATCTTGCCATTTGCAACAATGTGGATGGAACTAGAGTGTATTATGCTAAGTGAAAAAAGTCAGAGAAAGATAAGAGAAAGATACATAGCGTATGATCTCACTCATATGTGGAATGTAAGAAACAAAACAGGTGAACATAGGGGAAGGGAAGGAAAACCAAGATAAAAACAGAAGGAGGCAAACCATAAGAGACTCTCAAATACAGAGAAGAAACTGAGGGTTGCTGGAGGGGTGCTGGGGGAGATGGACTAAATGGGTGAGGGGGACTAAGGAGGACGCTTGTTGGGATGAGCACTGGGTGTTATATGTAAGTAATAAATCACTAACCTCTACTCCTAAAATCATTATTGCACTATATGTTAACTAACTTGGATTCAAATAAAATTAAAAATTAAATAAAATAAAAGCAACTTTTCGACTTTGGGTGCAAGAAAATAAATAAATAATTTTTTCACTTAAAATTTTAAAAATTTTAAGTTTTAAATAAATAACAGAAACTTACCAAGACCCCGATTTATTAAGTGCAACATTAGTCAATGGCAGTATATGTGCTCTGAGAACCTTCAATGAAAGAAAACAGCATTTGTTTTAAACTTAAAAAAAGAGTTTAAATCATTAATTTTAATTTCAAACCAAGGAAGATATTCAAGTTTATCTTAATTATACATAATAAGTGGACAATATTCACTATCTGAGCAGAAGAGAAAAAACTACGTATCTCCTACCATTAAGACCAATAAAACATTTGGTAGTTAACATAATTACAAAAACAATATTGGATCTGTGTTTTCCATGAAATGGCTTTTAAGATAAATTACTGCTATTAAATAAGATACCAAATAGCATTAATTTATAATATTGTCTTTTAAATATTGCACATGATTTTGTCCATAGGCATAAAAAGCATATAGAGGAAATACACTAAATACGTTTCAAATGCAGATTTTACAATTAATTAATACTTCTGGAATCCTAACGCTCCTCTAGAGTCAGAATGGCTCTTATTTCATTTATCTTTCAATTCCTACACTGTCAAGCACAGAGTGGATACCTTAATATTTATCAAACGAACATACATAAATTGGATAGTCTGTTTACAGATGGAGTGATTGGCTAGGCTGGGACAGTCCCAGTTACGTCTGCTGCGGGGGCATAATTATCAACAGTGTCTGCTTTCACTATCAAAAATGTTCCCATTGGAAGATAAATTGCAAGGTCACTCTAGTTATAGAGCTGATATTTGAAGTTAAATAGTGCCACCTGCTGGAAAAATAAATATTACAAGAATAACTTCCTCATCTTTCAATAATACATTAAAGGGATGACTACAAAAGATGTAATTTTTTTATGAGACAGAATATGCCAAATATATAGATAATAATATTTCCTTTTTAATCTTTTAATGTTTATTTCTTTTTGAGAGATAGAGACAGATAAACAGCGAGCAAGGGAGGGGCAAAGAGAGCAGGAGACACAGAATCCAAAGCAGGCTCCAAGCCCTGAGCTGACAGCAAAAAGCCCGACGCGGGGCTCGAACTCATGAACTGTGAGATCATGACCTGAGCATAAATCGGATGCTCACCCGACTGAGCCACGCAGGTGTCCTGATAACAATGGCATTTCTTCAAAATTCATTTAAATCATAAAAAGAAAACCAGTGTGATATGAAGCAATATTAGGATAAACTATTAAATATTGTTAAATAATTAAGAAAAACTAAAAGCTATTCCTGAGTAATTGACTACATTTGTTATACTTTGAATTTAATCATCGAGAAAACTATAGAGAAAAATAGGCACATTTACATTGCATTAAAATTATTATATAAGCCGTATCAATAAATAATTTCCTGAAATATAGTTTAGTTCACATGGAAGCAGAAAATAGTAGGTATTGATATTCCATGAAACAGAACTTCTTAATGTTACTCCAACTGAAAAGAAACTTCAATTATTCAATAACTTGAAGCTACCTTAATGGTCATCCTTTAAATGGAACATCGTAAAGAATAGCTAAACTTACTACCAATCTTTTTTTAACTTCTCTTGAGAAACACGTTTCAGTTTCATTCAGTCAGTAAATAAACATTTGCTGAGACTTAGTCTTGGCAAATATATATGAGACACCAAGGGAAAGAGAAAATATAATCTGCATTTTATCTCAGATTGATCAGATGTCAACCAATTCTTTGAAGTTCTTCTATTTGGTCATTTTAAAACATGCATTACCTTAAAAAGATAGAATTGGTGGTTGCTGTGCTGCCTGAGTTTGTCTTGTAATCTCCGCAGTAAAAACTTTACTTGGTCTGATCGTGAAGCTGTGATTACCGGCTCCGCTTTCTGTATCTCCTCTACTAAGGCATTGACGTCAGTACTGAAATTCCCACACACAAAAGTTACTATTTTCTATACCAAAATTTGCACACACACACGCAACCCATGAAGCATGCATTGCATTTATGAAGCCCATTTATAAAATGTAAAAACACCATCAGCTTTACTAAGAGATTTCTGGGGGGGGGGGGTGGGATACAAATCAATAAAGAAATCAAGTCTGCCTGAAAGTGGCTTGGGTTCTTCAGAATGATGATTCTTCATTTATTGTGACTTCCCCATGGAAAGGGGAGCAAGGATATTGATTTGCTTACCTAAGAAGGTCAAGTGCAGACTGAGCTCTTTCTCTTTACTTTTTTCCTGCTTCCTTTGTCTCTTTTTTTTTCTTTTTTTTTTCCTTTGTCTCTTTAATGAACATATACAGAATGTTCCCGATACGACTATACTTTGTGCCTTCCATATGCTTTCTTGTTTAATCTTACAACAATCCTCTAATATAACGCTTTTATCATAATTACTTTGGTGATGAAGAAACTGAGATTTGAAAAAGGTTAACTTTGAAATACTTTTTTTAGGGAAGGAGCAAGTAGCGAACCAAAAAATGAACACTCAGAGAATGATGATGATTATCATTAATAATTCTTACGGGCTACAACATCATTTTCTTAAAAAAGAACTGCTTGGGGATGTGCAGATTCGAGGCTTCCCTCCGTATTCAAATAACCTGTAGCAATTCTGGTAAATTTTGCCAGCCCAGAATAATAATTGTTCAAGACAAAGAATAGCGTCTATAAGCCACAAAGCATCCAAAATGGGGTCATTCTGCAAAACATGTCACGAACATGTCTCGAAGATGTACTGTCCAGTTCCCTCCCTTCAAGAAAGGACTCGGGGCCCCGCTGGGGGGCAGGTGTTTAGGTAGCTGACAGTCTCCCAACGGCCGCTCCTTCGGGATCCACCTCAGCATGGGAGCCCGAGGCATGCTCTTCCCCAGCGGCCCCGAGCCCAGGCCTGAGCCCAAGGTTAGCCTGGCCATTTCTGCCCCGCAAGCGACTCTCGCCAATGAGCTTTACTCTGGAGCTCCCTCGTGGGCTTGGCAGAAAATGTCATCACCTCTGCGTCATCGTGGCTGATGGCTCCTCGTGCTGAGCCTTGTTCCATCCCGTCTGTCATAGATGTCACTTCCCAATAAACCTCTCACCCACTTGCCTCCGTCTCAGCCTCTATTGCCCAGAAATGCAAACTCTGATAAGCAGGCCTTGGTCTTCGTAAATAAACATCTCCTGAGCTCCAGTCTTGTGTAAGGGACTGAGTTAGAAGACGATTCATCCCACCTACATTTACTGAGTCCCTACTACGGTTGGGCCCTGGGAGGAGTGTAAAAGATGTCATCTCGGCTCTCAAGAAATACAATCTATCGGAATAGGAGTGAATATTTAGAACAGGAATGAATCAGAGACAGTTTACAATGATGAGTTGGATGAATTTCCAGAGTGTGTTGTCAAAGGAGTTATACTTTCGTAAGAATTAGAAAGATAATAATGCCTCTTGGAAAGGTTTCCAACAAATGTTGTAAAGCAAAACAGATTTCCCAGCAAGGTCTAAATTAACCAGATATTTAATCTGTCCATCCCAACCCTGTGGAATTCTACTTCTAATTCTAATACAGTAACTCGAGTGTGCCCCATGTCATGCAAATGTTTTTATATGCAGAATTCACTCAGCTTCTTGAGCAGAACTAGAAATAAGATCCGTCCTTTCTCTTTTTTACTTTGAGACATTTATTCACTACATAGGATGACTACGCTCCCCAGGATCTACACTTCTTTTTAATGTTGATTTTATTTATTTTGAGAATGGAGGAGGGGCAGAGAGAGAAGAAGAGAGAGAATCTCAAGCAGGCTCCCCACTGTCAGTGCAGAGCCTGATGCGGGGCTCGGTCTCACCAACCCTAAGATCATGGCCTGAGTCGAAATCAAGAGTCGGACGCTTAACCAACTGAGCCACCCAGGCGCCCCAAGGATCTACAGTTTTTTAAATACAAAATCTGTATTTTTCTGAATCTCTACCTGCAAGATATTTTCTCATATAGACATTTATCTGTGCCACTCATGTTTTATACAAGTCGTTTCTCTAGTAAGCTAGACAATAAATTCGTTGAGGTAGGGATTAAGATTAATATCTTTAGAACCTCTTACAGAACCTAACCTAGAACTTTGCATGGAGGTGGTGCACAAAACATCGTTACAGACTAAATAAATGAATGTCTAACAAAGGGACTTTCAGCATGCTGGCGGAATCACACTTACCAGTGATATGTGCCAGTTACAAAAAGAACCGAAAATCGTGACTTGATCTGAGACTTTGTCTCCCCCGAAAAATAGATAGAGCAATGATTGTTGTGATGACATTCGATGCCTTATCTTTGCCACCATTTCTTCTTTGATTAAAAAGCAAACAGTTGACCGCCTTCTCTGTGGGGTCACCTGGCAGTGGCAATGAACTCTACCTGGGCCGTCACCATCCGAGCCACGACCGGTCCTCACCACAGACTCCAGACCGCTCAAGTGGCCGTGGCCATGAGAGAGGTTTCAAACTGGAGAGCAGCTCATTACTATCTAACTGTGGTTCTGTGAGAGGTCCTCTTCGCTGCCCGTGTCTGTCTCCGCTCCACTAATCATGGCCAAGCAGGTCAGTCACAGTGGAAAGTCGCTTATTTCGCTGGCCCACAACTCTGAAACACATATCGTGGCATTTTTGTTTCGCTTTACAATTTTCTTCCACTCAAAATATCTTCACCTTATCTGAGCCTGGGCTCCCACAGGATAATCACTGATCTGATCCTGTCTTTTGAAGTGGAGTTTTGCAGAGGATGACTTTTTTTTTTCTTAGTTTTGCACAGGATTTCCTAAAGGGAATGAATTCTGGGCAATATGCCCTCACAAGAGGATTTCCTCTGGGCGCACAACAAGCTTTGGAGACAAAGATGGGGTCCTCCCACTTCTGCCCCATGACAGTTAATGAGGGGAGCAGAATACAGTCAGCCCCGTGAGATGTTTGTCTACCAGGGAAATAACAGGCTCAGTACTATTCTTAAAATTCCAATCACCAGCATTCCTCAAAAATGTTAAATGGTCATCAAGAAGAAGCGAAGTCTGAGAGTCTGTCACCACCACCACAAGCCTGAGGAGACTTGACAGTGAAATGTAATGTGGGATCTCGGACGAGAAAAAGCTAATGACGCAAAAAACAAAACCACCACAACAACTACAACAACAACAACAAAACACAAGTAAAATTGAATAAGATATGGTCTTTTCGTTAGTAATAATGTGTGAATACCGGTTCATTAACTCTGACCAACGCACCACACAAATCTACGAAGTTAAGACTCTGGGATGCGGGGCATGGGGCGTGGGGGAGCTCCTGTCTTTACAGCTTTCTAAAACTGCTCTAACCCAAAAGATTAAAAACAACAACAGGTGTATTTAGGAAGAAAAACAAAGGGCAGACGGACGATCCTTTTCCCACCTCGTCCTCACCCAGCAAGGCCCTCCAGCAGGTCTCACTGAAGCAAGCAGGAAACAATACACCGCAGAACATGTGTTGAGCACTGCACGGTGAGTCCACGCAGCCCTTCCATACCCGGCCCTGCGCCAGCGTTTGTCAATAACAAATCTGGCTCGGAAACCCAGGCTGCACCACATGGCGGGTTTACCTGGGACTGAGGTTGAGCAAATCAATGCATTTGGTCTTCAGTTCTCCACTCGTTTCATATTCCAACATAATTCCTGTAAAAATAAACAAACGTGGTGTAAGACACTGGGGATGACACGCCAACATCAGAAGTTAGTCTACTTTGCCGTAACCTTTTTTTCACCTCTATTTTTTTAGTTTGTAAAATTTCTCGGCATCCGGGGCGCCTGGGTGGCTCAGTCGGTTCAGTGTCCGACTCTTGATTTCGGCTCAGGTCATGATCTCCCGGTTCGTGGGTTCGAGCCCCGTGTCGGGCTCTGTGCTCACAGCTCGGAGCCTGGAACCTGCTTCGGATTCGGTGTCTCCCTCTCTCTCTGCCCCTCCCCCACTCAGGCTCTGTCTGTCTGTCTCTCTCTCTCTCTCTCTCTCTCAAAAGTAAATAATTAAAAAATGAAAATTTCTCAGCATAAAACATAATGCAGTGATGTCTGATTTTAAAACACGGTTGTGTGAACTCGCTTTTCCCTAGTCCTTCCTCTAAATACAGCTACATACCCTTGAAAGTCTTCAACAGGCGATGCTAAAATAATCACAAACTGGGTAGAAGGTGGACCGGCCAGAGGCCTCAGGACTTGAGGAATCACAGCATGGTGAGTCCCCTGGGTTTTCTTTTTGTCTCCCACGTGTCCCTCAACAGGAGAGGAGCTTGACCTGCTGCCCAGAACCACCAAAGAGCACAGCCAACAAAAACCGAGCCGCAGCAAAGCTTGCTCTCTGTGGCCAGAGGACCAGGAGAAGGAAGTCAAACAAACAAACTCATGGGGAGCCCTAAGCCCTGCTCCACAGCTGGGGCCCCTTAGGCAGTCTGATTCCCTCCGTGGAAGCCCGGGGCTGCCCCAGTTCTCCTGCAAAGCTGGGCCCCAGCAGTGCTCTGATCTGCCTGCAGCAGCCCAGCGACAAAGCCCCAGGTGTCCTCGACCTCGGCTTCTCAGCTGGGGCCCCTGGGCACTATCTTATCTCTCTGCAGCAGAGACAGAGAAGGCCCCAGACTGCTCAGACCCCACTCCACAACCAAGCCATTGGTGGGCAGTCTCATCCACCTGCAAAGGGGGCGGCAGTGAAGTCCTGGGATATCCCAGACCCCACTCCACAACCAGGCGACAAAGCAAGTGTCTTCCTGCATTTCAACCAGCAGTGTAACCAGGTAGAGTCCTGTTCCCCACCCCCAGAAGGTCACTCAGTGAGACCAGCCATCCTGGGAAGTACCTCCTACCCTGCAGGTGGCACCAGCTGGAACTGAGTAGGGCCTTAGCAGCATCAGAAGAACAAAGCAGACTGGAAGAGCATTGCAAGGGCTCAAAACACTAAGCTGCCATTGGAACTAAAGCCCACAAAGTAGACCAGAACTTCTACGCTAAATCTAAACGTGGTAACTGTCTGCCAAAGTAGATTCAGATAGGATCAAGAGTCTGCTAACATAAGAACCAAAATGTCCAGGATACAATAAACAGGAAAAGACCATCGACAAACCCCAATAGCCAGGATACCATAGGAAATCACCTCTCACACCAAGAACCAGAGAAAGATAATCAATGAACACAGACATGGAGGTGAATCAGAGGCTGGAAATATCTGACAAGGATTTTAAAGGAGAGGTCAAAAATGCTGTAGCAACCATTTGCAAATTCACTTGAAACAAATGAACGAAATTTTAAAAATCTCAGAAAAATAGAAGTTTTTAAAACACACTAAATGGGTATTATGTAACTGGAAATTCAAAGGACAAAGTGAAAAACTTGTTGAATAAGTTCAATAGGAGAATGGAGAGGACAAAGGATAGAATCAGTGAACTTGAAGACAGATCAATAGACTATATTCCATCTGAACAACAGAAAGATAAGTTACTGGAGGGGGGGGGGACCTGAACAGAGCCTCTTAACCACTTTATTGTACTACCTCTATAAATGTGGGCCAGTGGATCTCACAAGTTTTGGCCTTAGGACCACTTTACATTCTCCAAATTATTGAGGAGGCCAAAGAAATTTTATTTCTGTAATATTTTCCGCATTAAAATTGAGAAAATTTAAATTCTGTATTAAACTGTTTTAAAATAGCAATAATAAAGTCATATCATGTTAATGTAAATACATATTTTATAGAAATAACCAAGAAAAGTAACATCGCTTTACACTTTTCAAATCTCTTTAATATCTGGCTTAACTAAACACAGCTGGAGTCTCAGGGCGCCTGGGTGGCTCAGTCGGTTAAGCATCCAACTTCAGTTCAGGTCATGATGTCACGGTTTGTGAATTCGAGCCCCACGGCAGGATCTGTGCTGACAGCTCAGAGCCTGGAGCTTGCTTCGGATTCTGTGTCTCCCTCTCTCTCTTTGTCCCTCCCCTGCTTGTGCTCTGTCTCTGTCTCTCAAAAATGAATAAACATTAAAAAAAATTTTTTAATAAAAAATAAATAAATAAAAACAGCTGGAGTCTCATCTCTGCTTCTGCGTTCAAGTTGTTGCTACATGGTATTTCAGATGAAGTATATGGGAAAAAATCTGGTCATATCCAGATATGCAGTTGGAAAAGGGACAAATATTTTAACTGCATTTTCTAGTAATCATGGATAATCTTCTTTAATATTACATTAAAACTTAACAAGTGTTAATTCATAAAGAATGGTTGCAATACAGAATCTGAAACCACATCAATTAACTCTGCGTACATTACGTTAAAATCCACTGGTCTATATCGCATGTTCAAAGGATATCTTATTCATGTATGGTTTATAAACCACGCACCAGACATCTGAAAAATATTAGTTTACCGAGTTATGCACATCTTCTAAATGTTGACGTATATAATCATACAATATCCCCCCCCAATCACATTTGTTAATATCACTACCAACATCTATCATCAGAAAACTCTTTTAGTGTTGGTAAGCTACCCAGCTCATGGAGGTAGATACAAGTTTTCTGAAATTCTAGTTTTTGCTTGAAAGCTCAAATTTTGTCACTGGCAAGAAATGCTGACAGTTTTGCTTGTAAGTTTCAGGCTCACTTTGCCCCTTTTCAAGCAAAATGTCTCCGAAATGTCCGGGTCTGAAAGCTACATTTGCTTCTCAGTCCTTCAGGTAAAAATGGTGCTCCGTGAAGAAAATGGCTAGTTCATCTCTCAGCTCAAAGGATCGCACGGTGTTTTCCTCAAAACCACTATGGAACACTACCGTGCAGAAGTGTTTAATGGGTACTTTCTATTTCACCACCCAGAATGCAAGTACTCCTATGTCAGTGTCTCACTACATTAGTGAGCTTTACTGTTTCATCAAGGACATTCCTACGTGAAACTGAGGGGGTTTCTTCCTTGTGCCAGTGTGTGTCAGTGAGAAATACAATGACCACTCTGAGAGTTTGTGGCCACCCACCGCCTGATTTGTAGTAAGTTTCTAGCAGTTTCACCTCCCCTTGCTTTTGTACGAGTAGGGCAAATGTCAGTACAGCGAAAAAAGCAGATGGTATCTGACTGTTATTATGTAGAGATTTGACCTTGAGACCCCACTGAAAGGGTGCAAGAGACCCCAAGGGTCCTGTTACAATTTGAGAATCCCTGCTATCAGATATATTTGATATAAAAGATAGGATTTCTGAAGCATTTCAGATCAAGAGAAAATAGGAAATTCTATCAAAACACTGTATTTGCTTTCCAAAGCACTACACCATTGAAATGGAGTGTGGCAGGGTTGAAAAGGCATGTGCTTGGCATCAAAGAGGTCCAGGTTTGAGCTCCAGCTCGATTCCCTACTCACTTCATGATACTAGTAAAGTAATCCCTTTATATCCCACTTTTCTTATCTGTAGAGAATACCTTCAGTTTGCTGGTTGAAATTAAAGAATACGTACATAAAGCTCCTGGCATATAGAAACTCATTAAGTAGTGCTTATTACCTAACGATTAATCAAATACTGCCTTGCGACATATCCGACATAGTCAGCTTGTATTACTTAAATTGCATCGATGCCTTCTCCCAGTGAGATTGTGACACCTTTGAGAAGGAAACTATTTGCTTCTTCAAACTCCCAGGAGGACCCTCCCTGGAATGAGTCGTGATGGTTTCCGCACAATAAGTGCATGATTTGGCCAGTTTCAAGTACAAACAACACTGTCAAATGGATTGACGTTACTTCCCCTCTGTGATTTCCATTTCTCCCTCCATGGTGCCTGCCTACTTCATTGTCTTTACCGTCTTTCTATCTTCTGTCCTGGCAACATCTGACTCATTAGACTATGGTCTCCTGGGTCTGCCTCTCTTCACCCCTAGCGTCTACCATGAAATTTGGTACACAGGAACTGTCCAAACAGTGCTTGTTGAATACGTGAACTAACAGACAGATGATTGGATGAGTGTCTCCAGACAGCTTAATGCAATTAACAGTCCCTGTCTTTATGACACATGGACTTTCAGAAATAATTGGCACGATGACCATGTCCCTCCTTCAAATACTATCCTCAATAGGCTTCTATGAAATCCTTCCATCTTTTTCTCCACTTTGTTATTTTCCGTTTCTCCTTTACTGATCTCTTCTGCCTGACCTTGAACTACTGATTTAGGGTGCCAGTCTTTTTCTCTGTATAAATTCACCTATCCTCATGGCTTTCACTGCCATCAATGCCAAAAATAACACTCCCGTCTAGACCTCCTCTGAGTTCCACACATGTTGATATCTCGCCTGCACCTCCCACAAGTCCAGGATCTTTCTCTTCAATCCTGTTTCTCCTGGAGAGCTGTTCCTCAGTGTCAGACATGACCACTCACCCAACTGCACAGCTACAGTCTCAGGAGAAGCTCATTTTCACACAGTCGGCTTCATGGATTTGCCACAACTAAGTAGGCAAACCCGAGCAGCCGTTGTGTAATGAAGGGTAACATTTTGTAACCGAAAAATCATTCCAAATGCTTTTAATAACCGAACAACTACAACAACAACAAACTGCCCAGAACAGCAAGACCCAGCAGGCAAACAGCTGTACCTAACAGGCTGGTTTGATTCAGTTTTATTTGGTTTCTTTTCCCCAAGAAGTGATTCTTTC